TGTCTTGCTGTCTTTTTTGAGTGCCAAGTCTATGGCTGGTTACCTTTTTGTCTGTGTGGCAGATCCATCACTTTGGGTGTTTAGCTGGTTTGAAGGAAAGCTCAGCTGCCTGCTTGTGATATGGGAAGGTCATAAAGCTTTTCCTCATCTTGTCTGATGCATCTGCCTTTGGTACAACCAGCCATACTAACAAAGAGCTCTTGAGTAACTTATAGCATGTCTTTTATTTCATTAATTATTTATTTATGTGAATGCAGCCACCTTAGTTCAACATTCTTAGTTCAACATGTTCAATTTTCAGTTATGAAAATGGCCCGCGATTTAGTATGTTTGGGTGATTGATAAGATAAATAACAGCTTGCAAAGCTTTCATACTGCTTTTTATGTTGTAGGCTGTAGTTGTTTTAGCAGACAGTCAAGGCTTTCCTTGATGAATAGTGGCAATACTGAGAATTGCTGAAACATTCTTGGGTTGTGAAAAGGTGTTCAGGCAATTCTGTTTCCTTTTACAAGTGTGTATTTCACTCGGTTTAGAAGTGCACTCAAATAGTTTCTTCATAATGTTTGCATGTTAGGATAGAATAGACTATTTCAGTGGAAGGGGGAACTACAGCAGTCATCTAGTGCAGCTGCCTGACCAGGGCAGACCAAATGCTAAAACACAGTGTTACGGTCATTGCCCAAATGTCTCTTAAACTCTGATAGGCTTGTGGCATTAAAAAAATGTAACTTTGCTGAAAAAGTAACATGTACAAAAAACTATACTGTTGATGATTTTTATTGACTTTGAAACTGTATAGCCTTAAAATTGCTTTGATTGAGTTTCCACAGTATTTTTTCTGTTTTGTTGTTCAGTAGATATTTAATTTGGAATTAGAATACAGCAAGTATTCTGGCAGTGTTGGTTATTTACCTGCAATTCAGATTTATGCTATTTCAGTTGAGCTGAAATACTCTGCAAAATGCTTTTCTAAACTCAAACTACAGCCTATTTTCATATTCCTTTACTTTGATGTCCCTTTTTATCTCAAGGGAAAGCTCTTTGCTGTTACAAAAAGCAAGGATTGAAGTACATAAACAGATTTTTCAAGAAATACAAAAGCCCAAACAAAGAAATTAGGTGCATGCTAAGATGTTCAGAAACTCCATGTTTTAAAACTTGGAATTTTTCTTCAAATTTAGACAACTCTTAAGCAAGTTATGTAGTCAAGATTATCTATGGCTAAGAGGAGAGTGGACTAAGTTTGTAATTTTGGGTTAGTGGTGTCTTTTTGGAATAACTTTATTTTTTTAACACTTATTTAGTAGGAGAACCATAAATAATGCAGAGGAGGCTGAGAGCTGAGATTTCATCTCTGGTAAAAAACTGGCAAACCACCAGAGTTTCATTTGAATTTTCACTTTTCAAAATACTGCATCAACTTTCAAGAGAGCTTGTCTAAACTCTAGGTTCTGCATATTTAAGAGAACGTATGGCAACAAAGGAAAAAGGTTGATAAAGTACTGGTTCAGTTGCCATAGTGTTGGGAGAACTGCACAGCTTCTGGCCAGCTAAAGTATTTAGGCTTTAGCTCCTGGAGTTTTGCTGGACCAACTAGAATTTAAGAGAAAAATGATGGAGAATTAATGCTTTCAGTTCTCAAGTAATTTCTTAACAAGGTATTTATTTTATTTGATCTTTCTAGCTTCCAGAGAAAACTGTGGAAAATCTTCTCATTTCAATGTAAAACAGTACATTTTTCTTAAATAAAAATACGCTCATATGCTGAAATTATTGGAGACCAAATGTCTTCAATACTGGCTACAGCTGCTGTTAGAGGGATGTTTTGTTTGTCAGAAAATAGACAGGATATGTTTGGTGTTCTTTCATCAGTGTTGTAAGGCAAATAACTTACTGTCTGAACGCCTTCTTCTGTTTTCTTAAATAATTCTATATTTCTGCATGAGAATAAGAACAGAATACATAATCCTATAGAAAAAGAATAATTTTTTACTGATGGTGATCACTGACCTCTGTTTTGTCTGTACTTTTAGGCTCAGTACTCTCCTTTTTACTGTAATAACAATCAAAAAAAGTGTTTTCATACTTCTGGACAAGAAATCAATTCAGAGAAATCTCTGAACAATAAAACACTAAATGGTCAAATGTATCTTGAAAATATCAGGTGCACTACTGACTTTTTTGTATATACAATGCTTACAAGTCAGCTTGTCATAGAACAGGGTATCTCAATTGTAAGGGACCTGCCAAAAATCATTTAGTCCAACTGCCTGTCCACTTCAGGGCTTACCAAAATCTAAAACATGTTATTAAGGGCATTGTCCAGATGCTTCCTAAATACTTTATGTGCTCTAGAAAGCCTGTTCCAATGTTTTACCAGTGTCTCAGTAATGAAATGCTTTCTAATGTCCAATCTGAGCATCCCTTGGCACAGCTTAGGACCATTCCCATGTGTCCTGTCACTAAACACCAGGGAGAAGAGCTCAACACATCCATCTCCAATCTGCTCCACTCAGGAAACTGCACAGAACAATGAACTCACCCCTCCAACCTCATTTTCTCCAAACTAGACCAATCCAAAGTCCCCAACCACTCCCCACAGGACGGATCTTCCAGCCCTGTCACCAGCCCTGTGTTGCTCTCCTCTGGATGTATTTATAGAACTCCACATCCTTTTTAAACTGTGGGGCCCAGACCTGCACACAGCACTCCAAGTGAGATTGCACCAACCACTGTCTTTCCTTCATTTTGCCTTCATCTGTGGGGAGGGTGATTTTATCATAGAATTATACCAAATTAGTTAAATAGGACCTTCTCTACCAAGCTTGAGCTCAGTCAAAGTTCAGATAAAAATAGATTCTTAGATTTTATCTTGTAGGCTCATTCTCAAGTATTCAGAAACTCTGAAAAGTCAAATTAGAATATTTATGAACTGCTGATGGCTTAAAGGATGCTTTTCTAAAGTCTGGGACATGTGGTCACTGCCAATGGTGGTACTGTAAGAGTCCTTTCTCCTTTGCCTTTCAGTATGTGATAAAATTTGTTGTGTTTGTTTGTAAGTAATAAGTACCTGAGCAGTTATGTTTGAAGTACTGAAAGTAAGCTAAAGATATAAGTGTTAAACATTTAAATTTAATTTGTTTCATTTAAAAGTACAGGCAGCCACCAAAATGCCAAATTACACCTTAATCTCCAAAAACATGACAAGTGCTAGCTCTAGTAGTGTTAGAGATGTAAATGTTTTACGTCACTTAAGTTCACATAAGCGAAGAATTATTTTTTTTGTGTTGTTTTGCATAAATAACTAGAAAAATACTCTAGGGTAGTAGACTTAAAATCTTACTGTATTTGTAATCTTAGAATTTTTTTGTTATACTTGACTGAATAATATTGTGCCTAATGGAAAAAAAAAATCTCCATGTACTTGTGAAGGATAGGTGCCAGGAGTTTATGTATCTTTTAGAGCAACCTCCTTAACCTAGATATGTCTGGTTGAGGGAACTGTGAGAAGTTGACTACTCATCTAGTATTTCTTAAAGGAATTAATGCTTTTGAGGTCTCAAGTACCATGAATGCAATACCAGTACAGTTCACTGGAAGCATCAGGACTGAACTACTTTGTTAGTTGTCATTGGCAAATAAGAATGGCCTTCATGCCAGAAACTCCAAAAAATTTTCACAGTCTTCTAAGTGCTGCTGACTAAAGTGTCAATTCCTATTTCAAATAGCAGCCTGGATTCAGTCAGCATTGTGTAGTGTGCCTAGCACTGTGTTGTGGGCCAGCATCTGTGTTCTGGGTTTGTTGGCACAAAAGCAATAACCATTTGGTTTTGATGAAAGAAGCAAAATAAAGCTGGCAAGGGAAATGTTTTTAAGAGGTAGTGAACTATGGTTTTATTTTTCTGTCTTCAAAACAGAGGGCATTTTAGTTAATTAAGTTTTCTAAACATAATTGAAGCAGTACATCCCATCTATCAACAGAAAAAAAAAAAAGAAAGAGAATAAATGTAAATTGAAATAATTTGGAGGAAAAGTAGCTATATTAACATGGGAAGTTGACTCTAATTCCTTTTTTGCCCCATGACTTATGTAATATAGCAACAGGAAGAGTTGCTTGCTAAACTTCTAAATTGCTTGCTAAACTTCTGCTTTCAGACCATTGCAATATAAAAAGACTAGGAATGGGTAGGTAAATAACAAAAGAGAGATGTCTGTGGATGTCAACTGAGTGACTGGAATATTGATTATGAGTTACAAATTCACTTAAAATACTCCAGTCAATATCTTTGTATTGGTAGAAGGAGGGTGATAGTGATGATGCTGAGCAGAAGATTTGAGGAAGTTGCCAATAGGAAGAAGGAAGGATACAAAATCCAGCCCCACTTACTTTACTGGGTGTCAAGGGCAAAGGGAATATATCAGCAAATCAGTTTTGGTGTTTCCATCTCCCCTTTGGTCCCCTGTCAAGAGTATGTGTATGAATCAACATCAGCAGAATTTTGATAAAAAATTTTGTTCTTTAGTTCTCAGGCACTGACCATAATATTAAGTTAAAACTTGGGTTTAAAATTGATCTGTCTGAAGTACTGTCAAGTTCCACTCATCCTTACAAAGTATTAAGAGGGGTCTTTCAGAAGATGTAACCTGTGCTTTTGTAAGGAGCCACTCCTGTTTGGCTTCATAAAAGAAATGGTTTGTGGGCGTCTGTTCCAAGGAATGGTTCAGAACTGCCTGGTGCTGGGTGCTGGGTACTCGGGGTTACCCTGGTCTGTGCTGTGGTGAGGGGCATCCCCCTCACTGCCTGCCCTGCATCCTGGTGTGGTGCAGCTCGCTCTCCCCTCCTGCGCTGTGTAGGTGCTGAGGCACCCAGCTCCTCAGGTGGGGCTGTGCCAGGCTCTGCCTTCCAGGTGCTGCAAAGCCAAGCAGCGTTAGATCTTGTTGGACCTGTCAGCAGGGGCTTGTTTCTGCAAATAACTGGGATTGTGTTTTTTCTCCCTAGAAAAGTTGATTGCCTATCAGCGGGAGTTTCACGCTTTGAAGGAACGTCTGCGCATTGCCGAGCACCGCACGCTGCAGCGCTCCTCCGAGCTCAACGCCATCCTGGAGCAGTTCAGAAGGGCCGTGGCAGAAACAAACAGCAGTAAGAATGCAATGAATAATTTTTCAGGTACACACTCTGAGATATTTTTTGTAACTCAGCAATACCAATATCTCTTCTGACTACTATAGTAAACTCAAGAAATTGCTATCAGGAAAGCCAAATGAAACTGTTCAGCAGTGTGAATAAAAAATGTGTAATATGTTGCATCTGGTGTGGGTGGTTTTGGTTTGTTTTTTCCAGTTGTTGTTCTTAATGATTCACCCACCCTTATTCAGTCCCTAAAGTTGTAAGAATTACTTACTCCACGCCTAGCTCCTGAAGTTTGGAACTTCTGGTTACTTACTTATTACATTGAATATATTTTGACAATTAATTTACATCACTTTTTAAATAGTCAGAGGGGAAAAGTGAGCAAACAGAAGAAATGGATGAACTTGAAGCAGTTAAAATATGCTTAAAAGTCAACTGGAAGGAATTAAATCATATGGACTGAAGTGTTGGTTACGATTTGTAAAAAAAGTATGGGAAATGGCCTTTTCAATAACTAGTGATTAAACTAGTAAAATCTTCCATAAGTTTTTACCCATTTTGGAGATGGATGTCAGGTTTATAAAAAGCTGTTTGGCAGTATTAGAGAAAAACACTGCAATATTCATGTGACTATTGATGTTAACTTCTAAAGTCACACTGTTACGGTTTCATTGCTCTGATGTTTGTGGATGGAAAATGAATAACAAATACATACAAATTTTCTGTATTTACCTGTAGAGATCTGACTTGGTAGGTTGCAGAAAATTCACTGTATTGGTCGAATAAGGAGCTGATTCCTGAAGGGTTTTGCAATTCAAAAGCCTGGAACAAGATTTTTGAATGTTTTGTCCAGTTGCATTTGTGCTGTTTTTTGGGCTTTTTTGTTTTGTTTTGGGGGTTTTTTTGTTGTTGTTTTTGGGTTGGGTTTTTTTTCTGGGAAGTGGTTATAATTATAGGCTCTAGTGCTGATGCCACTCATGAATTGCTGTCTGACACTAATGGCCTGATCTCAGTAGTTCCCTGGATCTCCAGGAACTGCACACATAGAGGTTACATTTAGCTTGGTCTATAAATCTTCCTATTTCATGTGTGTGGTTCTGCTTTTAAAGTAAAGCATGGAGGAGATAAAATAATTTTGATTCTGGATTTAGGATTAAGTTATTACACATTTGTTATTAAAACTGACTTAACTTGCTTTTAGGTAATACAAGGAGTTCTTTTCTTCTGATGCAGCTGAAAGTACTAATTCATTTAACATTCTACCATGTCTAGATCCCAGCTGGGATGGACATCCACATTTTTCCATGTAGAGCCATAATGAGAAGCCAGCTGAATTACTGAGCTTTTGTGCTCAGAACATAGTATTAGATAGTATTATGAATACTTAAGTGTATTAAGCTTAATGAAAACCCATTTGCTCTCTTTGAAGCTGAAAGAATTCTAGATTGTTTTGTAGATCCTTATTCATTCAAACAAAGAGCTGTCATACTAGGGCAGAATTTAGTTCAGGTTTTACAGATGAAGTTAAAGAAATGTTAGCAGGAAAAGTAAAATGTGTCTGTATTGGAGTCTATCAAAATAGACGTATCTGCTTATGGCATCTATTTACAAAGCTTTTTGCAAGGTTGGAGATGATTAGGAATTTAGTTTCACCTAAAAAAAAAACATTTTAAAAACCCCTAATCATACAGAAACAAAATCTACAACAAAACCCATCTATCTTTGTAGAAGCTCTGTTCAGAATCTGAGAGGAATTACACTTATGGCTTTCTTTTTCTTACTTCTCAATTTTATCTCAAGAAACTTTGACTACAGTTTTTACTTAACTTGATATTATAAAGCCTGTAAGTTTTCGAAGATCCATATGCTATCATATTTGTCATTTGAAATGAGTTGTTCTCACACTTGATGCAAGAAAACCAACACACACAGCAGGGTAATTTTACAAACTGTTATTTTCAACTTTGAGAGCCACCTGGACATACTGAAAGGCAGTTGCACCAGAAAGAGCAAGAATGCTTCAAATGGAATCTAGTAGGATAATTATATTCTAATGGACTAAATTAAATTTGCATTCTTTTTTTTTTTCCCAGGAATACTCAGAATATCAACTGTATGTTTAATGCTATTTTATTTTGTATCTTTATGTGCAGTCTATTCTAATATGTATTCATAGCTCTGAAAAGTTATTTGCAGTAGTGTTTGCTGGATAGTGATGACCTCTGTAAGCAAAAGTGAAAAATTATCTAGGGAAATAAGCCTCCCATTTGATTAATTGGGAAAAAACCCCAACAAAACCACCAACCCCCCCCATAAATGGAACATTCTTTACTTCTGTAAATTCACAATAAATCTTATGTGATCAGGTAAATATTAACTGTATCTGTAACAAGGTTATAGGTGCAAAATAGTCTTGGCCATTGTTTATTAAAAATATAGAAATAAGAAAAGGCTTCCTTTGTAGACAAGATACAATGACTCAGAAAAGTGCACAATTTATTCTGTCTTTCAGTTAAGACCAAGCCTTTTGTACTGTTTACAACTGCTTAAGACTTCATATTGTTTGTTTTCTGCATTACTGATTTCCTGTATGTTTGCAGATGAGACACTGAAATTGTTAAAAGAGCTAACAAGTAGAAAATCTCTTCAAGTGCCAAATATCTATTACCATTTGCCTCATTTGTTGAAAAATGAAGGAAGTCTTCAACCTTCTGTGCAGGTTGGCCTTGGAAGGACAGGAGGTATGCTGATATGATGGTTATTTCATGTTTTATATCTGGAGGACCTTCTAGTTTTAGAAAAAGAATTTACTGTATTTCTTGGTAGATCAAGGACATCTCATTTAACTTGTGTGATACTGATATCCTTTGAATTCGCACTGAATCCGAGATGAAAGGAGCTTGGTTTCAGCTTTGCTCTTTTCTGCATAATCTCAGTCACACCCCAGGTCATGTTAAGGTGCACATTAAGAAGCATTTAGTTTTGATGAATTTTATTGTAGCTAAAAGGAAACAAAGCTCAAGCATTTCAGATTCTGAGCTGCTAATGGATATATCCCTTTGGCTTTTCAGATTTGTGGGGCAACCATTCATGTTTATAATTATTTTAGCTTTGATGTTTCTGTTGTTCCGAACAGTGTTTTTCAATGTATAAATTAAAAGTTGAGAGAACAAAGATAATCAGATATAATTGCATCAATAAAATCTGGACAGTCATTGGAGGGGAAAATAAATTCAGTGTTGTAGTTACTCCTGGCTTGCATTTTTTCATTAATTCAGTAAGTTTGATTGCTTCTTCTTTTAACAGAAGGCATGCCTGTATGACAAATGTGTGGACTCAGGCCACAGGTTTATTTTTCTGACTATAAATACCTTCCATTTCAATGTTGTTGTTCAGGGAGGAAAACTCTAATAATTCGTTATTGTTTTAAGTGAAGTCTGTGTTATGTCCCCCTGGGAATATATGGCAGAAATTTGGAATTACAGAATAGGAATTGTAACCAAGTTTATTTAATTAAACAGAGGGAGGGAATTCAGGGTTTCAGGACTTCATGAAGTCTTTCACTCCAGTCCTGCTGCTATCTGCAATGTTCCCAGTAGGTAGCCAGTCCTGGTTACAGTACAGAAGAAAAACTGTGGAAAAGTTAAGCAACACAGGACTCAGATGGCCTGCTGAAAGATGGTGTTAAATAAGATTGTAGCTGGGGATATATTGCTTTGCATTTGTTAGAGATAAGGAATTTCGTTGAGGAACTTCCATCCAGTTCTGTTGTCTTGGACTTGTTTTATTAGAAGAACCAAAACCAGATGCAAGGAAAGTAATAGAGGCTTTCAGCAGTATTATCTTAAAAGATGACTTCTGAGAAGTTAAACACTTGAATTTTGAAGAATTCTTATACTGGTTTTATTTTTAAACTTAAGTTAGGGAGTTTAATCACTCTTGGTGCACCTTGTCTGAATAATACCATGATTGTTGACTATTTCCCCTTGTATTGGGGTTGGTGTGACAATGTTTTGGTTTCAGGGAGGCTACAGGGATGGCTGTTCTGAGAGAGTGACAGCAGCTTTCCCTATGTCCAGTGGAACCAATAGCCAGACCAGCAACACTGGAAAAATAGATTGAAGAGCAGGGGGGGAAAAACTGCCCAGGGGCAATTGCAGCTGGACAGAGGAGTGAGAACATGCAAGGTCAGTGCAGAAGGAGGGGGAGGAAGTGCTCCAGGTGTCGGGGCAGAGAGTCCCCTGCAGCCCATGGTGAAGAGCATGGAGAGGCAGCTGCGTCCTTGCAGCCCATGGAGCAGATATCTACGTGCAGCCTCATGTCACAGCAGGTGGATGCCCAAAGGAGGCTGTGACTCCATGGGAAGCACACATGGGAGCAGGGTCCTGGCAGGATCCATGGAGAGAGAAGCCCACAGTGGAGCAGGTTTGCTGGCAGGACTTGTAACTCTGTGATGGACCCACGCTGGAGTAGCCTGTTCCTGAAGGACTGCAGCCTGTGGAGGGGACCCATGCTGTAGCGGTTTATGAAGAACTGCAGCCTGGAGTGGGAAGTGGGAAGGACTTACATTGGAGATGTTCATGGAGGACCATCTGCCATGTTGGGGGGACCCTGTGCTGGACCAGGGCAAGAGTCTGAGGAGTCCTTCCACTGAGGAAAAAAAAGTGGTGGAGATGTGATGAACTGAATTCCAGCCTTCATTACCCATGCCCCTATGCTTGTGGTAGGGAGGAGGTAGAGAAATGAGCTGTAAAGTTGAGACTAGGATGAAGGGAAGGGTGAGGGAAAGGTATTTTAATATTTGTGTTTATTTCTCATTACCTTATTTTCATTTGAATGGAATTAATTAACTTCCTCAAGTCTGATTTGACTGTGACAGTAATTGGAGAGTGATCTCTCCCTGGTCTTACTTCTATCCACTTTACATTTTCTCCTCTCTGTCCAGCTGAGGAGTTGAGTGATAGAGCAGCTTTGGTGGGTACCTGGTGTCCAGTCAGGATCAGTATACCACACCTACACATTAGTCTAGCATGTCTAGGACTGGGGCTTTTATGTCTGCTTGTTTGTTCTGAGCATTGGTGTTAACTAACATGGTGTTAGTCATGCTCATGATGTTGGGTAGCATAATTTTAAACTATTTTAAATTACTGCTATCTCCACCTTTTAATCCTTTGCATTTGTAAACCAATGCCTCATTGCAAGATTTTTGTTTTCTATCTTGTGTATGCCATCACTGAAAGTACCTTTCTGGTTTGTTTGATTTCAGTTTCCATTGTAATGGGAATACCTACAGTGAAAAGAAAAGTCAAGTCTTACCTTACAGAAACTCTCCACTCCCTTATTGATAAGCTGTCCCCTGAAGAAAAACTGGATTGTGTTATGGTTGTCTTTATAGGAGAGGTAATTGCTTCAATTTTTTTATATGTTTTCTTAACCTGCCTTTAATCCAAAGTAACACTCCATAAAGGAACTGATGAGGATCTACTTTTTCTTCAAGATGCAGACAGATGACTCTCTCCTTCCAGGAAAAGGAAAGTGTCAGTCTTGGGTTTCTGAGAAATAATCCTGAAGAGCCCAGCTTTTTCTATTTATCAGGGGAATGGTGGCCATGGATTCAGTGGCGTGGTTATTTTGCAAATCTTGTGTTTATATATAGTGACAAAGATGTGCTATTCCTTCAACAGAAGAAAAATGGAAAATGGAAAAATGGAAAGAAAAGGAACTCTGTTGTAGGGGAGAATGTCTCCCATTTTCTTTATGCTGCTGCTTATTCCTCTGTCAAACGAGTGCTGCAGTTCGAGATGTGAGGCACAGATTGTTATTGAAATAATTTTCTCGGCAATGTGGATGTTTGAAGCCCAGACCTTTTAATGGATTAATTCAGTGTTCAGTTGTACTGTTTGTTCACTTTGGCTCTGATTTAGTGGAAATCAAATTTAGGAAAATGATAGAGTACTTTCAGAAATAATTCTGTTGGATGCTGGGAATTGCATGTACCTATTTTGTTCTCTATGCTTTTCTCAGAAATCTGACTTGGACAGTGGGAAATTTATATTTATGTTTGACCTTCATCCATCTAACTGTAGTGTTCTGCTGAAACAGTCTTTTATAAGTCCCACAGATGAAGATTCAAATCCCCAATTATAGCTGAAAATTATTTTAATTTAGTGAGCCAGTGTCCATTCAGGGATGAATCAGTGGAAAATCAGTATTTTAATATTTCTATTATCAACATATTTTAAAACTTTCCTTGGAAAGTTTGTAAACATTTTGCTTTTATCTGAGAATTGTTTCTTAGTATTTTCTAATGCAAATTGGTCTATTTTCTTTTTCTTGACAGCCAGTCAAAAACTATCTGTCTGGATAGATACTGCTTTTCTGGGGAAAAAATAGATGCGTTTAAAACATTGCTTGGTTGAGAACATCAGTGGAATAGAATTCTTCCTGAATTACTGGAATGCTGTGTTTTCTTCACTGTGTTAGAGAAATTTTATTGGCTGTGAGTGTGGCTTCTTTTCAAGGTTTAAAACTGAAGTTTCTTTTGTTTTGCTTAAGGAGGTCTGAGCTATGAGGACTGTCTGTTATCATTGGATTCTCTGTCTTCTGCAAAATTTGGAATAGGTATGAAGTGTCCCCATCTGCACCATCTTTTGTTGCATTAGACAAGCCATATTGCTGTACCTGGGCTTTCTATAGCTGGAAACTTTCTTCCTTTGAGGTGGTGTGGAATACTCTCACCTTGGCAGTGATTCTACAGAAGTGACCACCAGTGAACTGAACATTTTAACATGGGAGCTACTGCTCCTGTGCCCATGGAGAGTTGTGTGGTTGGCTCTGGAGTGGGGTACAGTTACCCCCTGTGTCTTTCCTCTTTATTCCACTTTGAGAGCCATTCTTTGTGCTTATTCAGGTACCTCTTTTGGGCACAGCAAGTCAGGAACGTATGGGAACATTTGAAGAATCCAGGTTTAAATTTTTGTTCTCTTGTAACTGTTTGCTAGACTTGCATTTCTTTTTCTTTACTCCATCCAATTTATTATCTTTCCTTCTTTATTCTTGGACCATGTTTTTTATTTCCTTAAGCTAAATATCTTACTGTTTGCTTTGTAATTGCTACAGGGGACTCTCTACATGATTAATATGGTGCATTGAATACTTCATCCTGAATTATGCTGTGCTTTTTCTGACTTGTTCTGTATATTTCAGTTTCCTTCTGCAAGATGGAAAGTGTAGGTTTATTAAGCATTTTCTCTGGCTGTTTGAAGGAAGGCCTACTCCTCTGGTAGACTGCTGTTTCTCCTTAAACAAAAAGAAAGGCTGTGTCTTTTAAAATAGCCTTATCTGTGGGGTATCCTAGCCTGAAATGCATTAGGCTGTTGCTGTCATTAGCATGTGCAATAATAAAGGCTTATTAAAACTACATTAGAACTTTGACCAACTATGCTTATATTAAAAACTATGTCAAAAGTTTATAAAAAAAGGTATGGCCTCTGCTCAAACATATGTGCAGTTTAAGTACAGCAAGAAATGGTCATAGGGTGAAGTTATGTAATTTTGCTAATAAGCTTTAAATTACTATCTGTGCCTTGTCTATAGCTTGTAGCAACAACAAAAAAAGGAGCACAAGACTACAAAAATGGTTTTAGAAGAAAATTACAGGGAAAAAGCATTTAAAAGGGATTTTAGTATTTTTCTTGCTATCTTTATTCCAGAAATCAAATTTACAGTTTTTAAGAAGCATTGCTGGGAGCCATAGTCGTGGACTGTAATCTCATTGTGCTAAGCATGCTACAAAACTCTTCTAATACTGCTATTTTTTAGTAGTTCAATCTCACTCATTTCTTGTAATTTCATTTTTTTACTAGAAAACAAATTAGAAGGCTAATGGCATTCTGCAAACATCATCAACAGTGTAAACAGAGGAGCTGGTAAATATAGATGCATTATGGTTGCTAAATAAAGAGATCTGCATATTCATTTACTGTATGGATATTTCTCAGTAATATAATTGTACACAGTAAATTCCCATACTGGAACTTAAAGGAACTCAGAAATATCTCAGCTGATGTGATAACTAATCACCAATTTAAATAATTACTAGAATTGCTTGACAGTAAACTGTTCAATTGTCCTAGTTACTGACATATGTCTGTGTTCTCCAATTAGTTAGAATAACTTTATGGCGGAATAATTTGCAGGTATTCATTAGGATGACTAATAAATAGGTATGATTCATTATTCCTTAATACTTCAAAATCTTTTTATTCCCCCTCACTATGTAGCTAGTTCCTAGCTCGTATGCGTTGAAAACAATTGATTCAAATCTCATTAACCTGTTTTGTATGAGAACTTGTTTTCAGCATAAGACATAGAATCTAGGTTTAAGAAACCATGAACTCGAGGTTAAAATTGTTGTCTAATATTTTTATTTAATAAGGTTTGCAATTAACATGGGAAGCATGGTTTTGAAGTACTTTAAATGATTATAGTGGAACAATAGACATATATATACACACACAACTGAATATGAGAAAAATTAGAATACTTTCCTACTATCTAAACAAAATGTTGGGTTTTTTCTGTGGGGAGGTCTTATTTGCAATGAAGAAAATGCATCTTAGACTTGTTCTAAATATATCAGAAATTACTGTCAGTCCACTTCATTAATCAGAGACTGCACTTAGCACAGTCTTCTCTACAAACAGTAATCAGTGCATGCTGGAAAGACTATAAGCCCTTGATTTGACCAAAAATATGAGAAGGACAAATCATTTCAGGAAAAATTGGAAGACACTACAGGTATGCAAAAGCATTTTTTTATTTCTGTGTGCTGCTGATTACATTTGACTAGGTAGTAATTGACCAGCAATTTGTTCTTGGAGCATTAAGCCACAAAGTATACTTTCTTACATATTCCTTATTTAAATCTTACTCTGTTGTTCCATGTACAGTTCAGTTAAGCTGTAAGAATTTGCATATCTTGATTATCTTTTACTGTCACTGTGTTATCTCTATGTAAACAGTGTCTGCTAAATTAAAAGATGCTGATCTTTAATAGTGTTTTTTCTGTGCTCCGTCTGTGGAGAATCATTTTTTTATCTATTACTTCTTTGGAAAAGTTTCTATCCTGATTAGGTCAGTGTGACACAAGCACCCAGCAAGGTACCATCCTGTGCACTGATATGAACAAAGTTTTAGCAAATTAAGGACTGGGTCAAATCTTGCTGAACCTGTTTTGCAGGTATTGACACTGCAGTACAATATATAAACCTTCTCCACAAAATAAACAAGCTTGTATTTTCACCTCTTCTTGCTCTGGACCTATAATATAAGAGAATTACAGTTCTTTCTGATCAGCAGCTCTCTTGATAGAAAGCAAGAGAGCATTTTGACTGTCTGGCTCTCAACCTGAATGTATTAGCATCATCCCAGCTACAGAGATGTTCGTGCTTTCTGCTAATTATTTGTAAGCTGCCTCTTCTTGGAACTGCCCTGGAGAGTGTATTCCCAGTCTTGGAAAGATCTGACCTTGCATCTTGAGTTGGAGGAAGTCTAGTGTGTACATACATATATGTATGTGTGTAATGTATATAATACTTTAAAAAAACTCAAAGCTAATCAAAGCTGTTATGTCAAGATACATTATCTACACCAAATAATATTAAAGGCCTACACAGATGGGAATCTTTGTTTTGGACATCTCACTCAAAATTGATCCAGATGAGCACGCCTTCTTCATACACTGCCAGCTCTTGTATCTGAAATGGTAGCTTGACCTGTCAGTGAGAATTTGAGATATTTATTGTTATAGTTGATATTTATTTGGTTTTGCAGTCCCTACTCCTTTTTCACCTAAGCTTTAGTACACAGAAGTATGCTGAAGACTGCTGATGCTGGGCATATCCTATGTTGATAGGGTTTTATGCTTCTCTTTCCATGACAGTGACTAGCAAAGTTTTTATAAGTAATGAAATCAGTGTTAAAAATCTTTCTTAGATCTAAGAAAAGATCTTTGACAGGGTTTGAAAACTTCAATGTACCTGCAACAAATTTGCTATCTCAGCACAAAGATAAAATCCAGGATTTTGCTCTTTCCCCAAGCCCTAGGATTGCATGACTGAAATGCTTCTCTGAGATACTTGCTGAGGTGCAGCTGGGCCACAATAACTACCTGATGCTCTTGGTAGGGGAGCATCACTGTTGATAGCCAGAGTTGTGTCTGATGTCTCTGATGACATCTAGGGTATTTTTGAGGTGGGAAGTAACAGTAATAATCTTATTTCAGAAGCATTGTAGCAGGTGACTTCATACTTGTATGGTGGACTGAATTGGCACTGAATTTTGGACAACACTATCAAGTTTTGCTACAGTCATCTGCCTTGACCTAAAAATTCCTTCTG